TCTGAGTTATAGATAGTTCTCCCTCATTAAATCCAAAATTTATTGATCTGATAAGAAAGCTTCCAAGATCCTTCCCAAAAAATTAAAAAAAATTCTACTGTAAAGCCATCACTACCTGGAGTTTTATCGTTTTCATTTTTTTAACGCAGATAGGGCTTCTTTATATGTTATACATCCTTCTAAATTATTTGACATGTTGTCATCCAGAACCCTGATATCATCTTTATTAATTATCTGTTCTAGATTCACATCTTGTAATTTATTATCAAAGCAAGAGTATATGTTCTTATAAAATTTCTCAATTTCTATTAAGATTTCTTCCTGTGAAGTAATAATATTACCTTTGCTGTGCAAGAGTTGGTTCACAGTTTTATTAATAAAATTTCTTCTTTCTAAACTAAGAAAATATCATGTCGGTTTTTCACCCTGTTCAATCCACTTGAGTTTTGTTCTAACAAAAAGCCCTTTTATATATTCTTTTCTTATTTCTTCTAAACTATTTTGGGCAGCATTTAATTTTTCTACAATTTCTGTTGAGCTATTAATATTTCTCAGTGATTCTAGGTATTTTATTTCGTTTTCAAGTGAATTGATTTTTTCATTTTTTAATTTCAATATTTTTTAGAACTAAAAATATTTCTGTAAAATTCTTTTGTAGCGATTTCAATATAACTTGGCACACAAGTAGACTACAATAAGATACATAATTCTGTGTATCTCGATGAATGGTGTTGCCGTGGTTACTAAAAATAGAAATTTCTGTGAAATTCTTTCAAAATGCTACTACTCCTACAGTTTTGGTCTGATTTCAATATTACTTGGCACACAAGTAGACTACACTAAGATACATAATTCTGTGTATCAGTTTTTGATTTCGATGAACGGTGTTGCCGTGGTTACTAAAAATAGAAATTTCTGTGAAATTCTTTCAAAATGCTACTCCTTCTACAGTTTTAGTCTGATTTCAATATAACTTGGCAGTAGACTACAATAAGATACATAATTCTGTGTATCGGTTTTTGATTTCGATGAAATAAAAATTTTCTGTGAAATTCTTTCAAAATGCTACTCCTTCTACATTTCTGATTTCAATATAACTTGGCACACAAGTAGACTATAAGATAATAATTTCTCATTTTTGCGAAATTCTTTCAAAATGTTACTCCAAATACAATTTTTAGTCTGATTATAATATAAGTGTTGCATGCAAGTAGACTGCACTAAGAACGTAAAGAGACTTAATCAAGGATCATTATTCTATTTATTGCTGTTGAAAAGTTTCAATTTCCAATTGATTTCCTTTGCTATAAGTTTTTTAGACTTCTGGTTTAATTTCTTTTTTTAGAACAATATTGAATTGTAGCGCCTCTTATACTCAGCAAAAGTTGCTCAAAAAATAATTGATCATCTATGAGTAGAGATAATTCCTCATTTTCAATTTTATGTATACATATTGGATTATACGGAGAGACAGCATATTTTTCCTTTACTTTTCGTATAGTATTTTTTACAATGTTTACATAAGACTGATCCCTGAGTAAAGAATTGTTAAACTTCCAAAATCCTTTTCCCTTTTCAAATTTGGTCAATTTAATTTCTATAAAAACCATTGAGTGGTCAGGCTTATACCCAGGTATAATATCAACGTTATCTAATAACGCAAGAAGTTCGTTAGATAATAGGAAAAAATCAAGTCTAGGTTTTTTAAGAGGATTTGTTTTAGACCAAGTATACCTTTTACGTTGTTCATATTTCACAAGGGTCGGTCAGACCAAGTACAACTTTCATATTCAGAACTGTTTCCCTTGCCTTTTTATTATTTATATTATTATAATTAAAGTAATCTAAATTTGCATCTTGTACAAGGTTAAAATCTTCACCCCAAATTACAAATTCTCCTTGAAAATTTGAAATTATGTCAGATACTGATTGGAAAAATTTTGGGTCATCATTATTAGGTCCATAAACATTTACTAATAAAATATCATATTTATTAAATACATTAATCTCCATAACAAGCAAGTTACCTTCTTTATCTTTTTGTTCATTTAGTATTTTATATTCAAAATTATTGTTGAACAAAATTGCGACACCTCTAGGATTTGATTGACCAGGTGATATGTAAACATCATAGCCCCAAAGAGATCTAACTTGTAAGTAATCATCTAGAGTAAAATGAGTCTTTTGTAAAAAAGTAATTGAGAATTTTTTCTGTTTTAAATAGTTAAGCACGTCTCTTCTCTTTTCTAGTCCCCCAAGCCCTCTACATGTACAATTAAATGATAAAATATTAAAACTCATTTCACTAATCCGTAGCCACCTGTATTACACAATCTATAACATGCTTTGACAAATAAATGTCTAAGAACAAAATTGTACGTTCAAGGCAATTTCGATCGAAATAAAATTTCTTTTCCAACAAAAAAACATACATAAATCTTTCGCACAAAGACAAACACAGACAAACAAACAAAATTATTTGCATAATTCCTGGATGGCTCACAAGTTGACAAGTTTAATGTTACTTATACTTTTTAGCTCTTCTGAGCCAAAGGCTCAAAGAGCTAATGCTATGGCCATTTGTGCGGTGTGCGTCGTGCGGTGTGCGGTGTGCGTTAACTTTTTAGAATATGGGCCATAACTTAAGAACCCCTTGGCCAATCAGTACCAAATTTGCCACAGGGTATCCTTGGCCCAAGGGCTACCATTTATACTAAAATAAGGGTTGGGACCCTAAAACAAGGGGAGATAATCAGGAAAACAAAACCAAAAGTACTAGTTGCTAAAAAATCTTCTTTTCCAGAACCGCCAGGCAGATTTTCACCAAACTTACATACAAGGATCAGGATATGTTGAAGATTAAAAATTGTTCAAGGCATGACCCTGGGGCAAAGGGCGTGGCCTCAAGGTCACTTTGAAGTTGACCTAAATTTACAATTAATAAAAATATTTATATTTTGCTTACTATACGGGCTAGGATCATCAAATCTTGTAAGTTGATGCATCTTAGGACTTCACATCATGTTAACTCAAAAGTAGGTCACGGTGACCTACTTTTTAAATTTTGCGGGCATTTGTTTTCAAATTGATTTGAACGCATATTTTGGACACTTTAAGGCCTATGATCATGAAACTTAGTCAGTTGATGCATCTTGGGTCCTTGAACAACGTCAACCTAAAAGTAGGTCACCGTGACCTACTTTTTGAACTTTATGACTTAACCTTTTTAAAACATTAAATCTCATTATTTCAGGCACTGAAAGGTTTAGAATCATTAAATCTTGTAAGTTGCTGCAGCTTGGGACCTTAAAACATATTTAAGAAAAAGTAGGTCACTGTGCCCTACTTTTAGAATTTTGCAGGCATATGTTTTCAAATTGTTTAACAGGCATCTTTTGATTACCTTCAGACCTACAATCATCAAACTTGGTCAGGAGATGCATCTTGGGACTCTGAAAAATGTCGACCAAAAAGTAGGTCACGGTGACCTACTTTCGACATTTTATGGCTATATTTAAGATCTTAGGTATTTATTGGCTTAGAATCATCAAACTTTGTGAGTTGATGCATCTTGGGTTTTCGGAGAGTGACGACCAAAAATTAGGTCACGGTGACCTATTTTTGACATTTTATGGCTATATTTAAGTATCTCCGGTACTTATTGGCTTAGAATCATCAAACTTTGTCAGTTGATGCATCTTGGGTTTTCGGAGAGTGACGACCAAAAATTAGGTCACGGTGACCTAATTTCGACATTTTATGGCTATATTTAAGTATCTTGGGTATTTATTGGCTTAGAATCATCAAATTTTGCGAGTTGTTGCATCTTGGGTTTTCGGAGAGTGACTACCAAAAATTAGGTCATGGTGACCTAATTTTGACATTTATGGCTATATTTAAGTATTCCTTTACAAATTGGGTTAGAATCATCAAACTTTGTCAGTTGATGCATCTCGGGTTTTTGGAGAGTGATGACCAAAAATTAGGTCACAGTGACCTACTTTTGACATTTTATGGCTATATTTAAGTATCTTTGGTATTTATTGGCTTAGAATCATCAAACTTTGTGAGTTGATACATCTTGGATTTTCGGAGAGTGACAACCATAAATTAGGTCACGGTGACCTACTTTAGAAATTTTATGGCTATATTTAAGTATCTCTGGTACTTATTGGCTTAGAATCATCAAAGTTTGTCAGTTGATGCATCTTGGGTTTTCGGAGAGTGACGACCAAAAATTAGGTCACAGTGACCTACTTTCGACATTTTATGTCTATATTTAAGTATCTTAGGTATTTATCGGTTTAGAATCATCAAACTTAGTCAGCAGATGCATCTTTGGACTCTGAAAATGTAGACTAAAATGTAGGTCATGGTGACCTGCTTTCAACATTTGATGGCTATATTTAAGTATCTCTGGTACTTATTGGCTTAGAATCATCAAACTTTGTCATTTGATGCATCTTGGGTTTTCTGAGAATGTCGACCAAAAAGTAGGTTACAGTGACCTACTTTCAACTTTTTATGGCTATATTTAAGTATCTTAGGTATTAATGGCTTAGAATAATCAAACTGTGTAAGTTGATGCATTTGGGGTTTTCCAAGAATGTAGACCAAGAAGTAGTCCTTATTGGCTAAGAATCATCAAACTTTGTCAGGTGGTGCAACTTTGGTCTCAGGATACCTAGGGTTAGAGGCTTCAAATACAAGTGATAGGTTGTGCAATTTATCAGAAGAGCGATTCAAGGCCCCTGGGCCTCTTGTTTTTTTCGTTATCATCACAGTCATGTCCATTTTATTTCACCGGATATACATGCGTCCACAACTAACTAAAGAACCAAGTCCGGATCGCCTCATCTTTTTCGTATTTTCTTTTCAATATCATCTTTTAAATCAAATTTGATTCTTTGTTTCCCGCATTGTTCGTAAATGTGCCCATTAAAGTACCATGCCGCGGATATTCTGTGGTCCTGCAGGAGTCTTGTTATAAGGGCTGCATTCTAATGTGTTACATCATCTGTTACTTTGACCTTGACATCATTCTGTAAGTCTAGTTCTTTAATGTCCGATCGTTTCTTCATGATCTTTACTTTGGCGTCCATGGTTTTAAGCTTTATTATAATAGGTCGATGTTCGTCTTTCCTTCCTTGAATCCTGTGGATTGCTAAAACGTCATCTTCTTTAATCTGTTCACCCACTTCCTCGAGTACTTCATTTACTACCCGTAAGGGTTCTTCCCCTTTCTTCTCTGGTACACCATGAATTTTTAAGTTATTCTTCCTCGAATATTGTTCATTGAAATTTGTTTTTGATATTGCTGACCTTGTCATCCATTTGTTTTCTTCCGTTCTGTTATGTAGATCGTTTAGTACTTCTTCGTGTTCCCTAATTTCTTTCTGCAAATGTTTGTTTTCTTGATGTAGTTTCTCATTCTCTTCTCTGAGTTTTACAACTTCATCGTACAGTTTCTTCTCGAACTTTTCTTGGTAACTACTAAATAATTCTTATACTACACTTCTCACGACTGTTTGAATATCACTAACCTTTATTGTCTTTTTAGCTCACCTGAGCCAAAGGCTCAAGTGAGCTTTTCTGATCACAATTTGTCCGTTGTCTGTCGTTGTTGTCGTCGTCGTCGTTGTAAACTTTTCACATTTTCATGTTCTTCTCAAGAACCACTGGGCCAATTTCAACCAAACTTGGCAGAGAGTATCCTTGGGTGAAGGGGATTCAAATTTGTTCAAATGAAGGGTCACGCCCTTTTCTAAGGGGAGATAATCATGAATTTGTTAAAAATTAATGGCATTTTTAAAAAATCTTCTTCTCCAGAACCACTGGGCCAGGAAAGATGAAACTCATGTGGAAGCATCCTCAGGTAGTGTAGATTCAAGTTTGTTCAAATCATGACCCCCGGGGCAAGGGTGGGGCCAAAATGGCCGACCCAAGTTTTACATAGGAATATATAGGAAAAATCTTTAAAAATCTTCTTCTCCAGAACCACTGGGTCAGGAAAGATGAAACTCATGTGGAAGCATCCTCAGGTAGTGTAGATTCAAGTTTGTTCAAATCATGACCCCTGGGGCAAGGGTGGGGCCAAAATGGCCGACCCAAGTTTTACATAGGAATATATAGGAAAAATCTTTAAAAATCTTCTTCTCCAGAACCACTGGGCCAGGAAAGATGAAACTCATGTGGAATCATCCTCAGGTAGTGTAGATTCAAGTTTGTTCAAATCATGACCCCCGGGGCAAGGGTGTGGCCAAAATGGCCGACCCAAGTTTTACATAGGAATATTTAGGAAAAATCTTTAAAAATCTTCTTCTTCAGAACCACTGGGCCAGGAAAGATGAAACTCATGTGGAATCATCCTCAGGTAGTGTAGATTCAAGTTTGTTCAAATCATGACCCCTGGGGCAAGGGTGGGGCCAAAATGGCCAACCAAAGTTTTACATAGGAATATATAGGGAAACCTTTTAAAATCTTCTTTTCAAGTACTTCAAAGCTATGATTAGTGATATTTATATGGAATCATCCTCAGGTAGTGTAGATTCTAATTTGTTCAAATGTTGGGGGGGGGGGGGATAAATTCAAGCCTGATGTGCTCAGGTGAGCGCTGTGGCCCCTGGGCCTCTTGTTGAGTTCATTGTTAATCTCGGTCAGCTGTGTTTGAATTGACTCCATTGTTATTTGCATGGAATTTTCCTGCGTACGTTTTGGAGAGGACTCAGAGGAAAGAATTCTCTTCTGGCTGTCTTTTTGACTGTCTTTTGGCGATTTACTAGTAGCTGGAGTAGAACCTTTTCGAGTAGTAACACCAGTAGAAGGCATCTTAAAATATTTGTCAATAGTACTCATGTAGATCTACAATACAGGCTATAAATAGATTTACTCACTACGCTATCTTTTTAATCTAATCCCTTAAAAATACCACTCCTAGATTTCATATAAGGATACCACTGCATGTATCCGCCATGAGCAGTTCTGGGCAATTCTGAATTCTCAGTTTGACCATGTTTTCAGTCCTATAAAACTTGTCAGCTCGGCCGCTCCACGCTCCCTCACTCGACGCGTCTTACCTCGAGCGGCGCCATTTTGGAATCCATGTTTGACTTTACTGGTTGTTGACTCACAGCTGTGTTACTAGGTTGAATATGCAAGTCCTCCTGAATTGGTACATTCAAGAACGCAACTGATCAGCGTGTCGTCTCCATGTGACTCCTGGTGTTACTTCTACAGAATATGATACGGGTCCAGTCTGAGCAGTCACAGTTCCGGAAGTCCACTGAGAATGATCCTTTCTGTAGTCACGAACAGCAACAGTATCTCCTGGTTCGAATTCACGTAACACACTTTTTCTTCTTTCGCGCACTTCACACTGTTTCTCTTCTACTTTCCTCCTGACATCCGGTTTCATGAGATCTAGACAAGTTTCTGCCCATGAATAGTTTTGCTGGACTTTCATTTGTTGTGCACTGCGGAGCATTACGGTAAGCCATAAGAAAATTGCTGGGTTTCTTCACCTTGCTACCATTTTCCTTTTAACTCGACTTGAGACTCATCTTGAATGACTGCACAAATATTTCTGCTAAACCGTTAGTACTGGGGTGATAGGGTGCTGAGGTTTTGTGTTTTATACCGTTTCCTCTGGTAAAATTCGCAAAATCTTCTGATGTGAATTGAGGTCCATTGTCACTTACAATTTGCGATGGTAAGCCATTACGTGCAAAAACAGTACGTAATACATCTATGGTCTGGGAAGATGTGGTAGTTTTCATAGGTATCACCTCTGGTCACTTAGAGTAAGCGTCAACAAGGACTAAGAACATTGAAGACCCGCAAAATCGATATGGATCCTTTCCCAAGGTCTAGATGGCCATTCCCAGGGGTGAATAGGTGCAGCTGGTGGTGCATGCTTTACTGCCTGACATCCAGCACAGCTCTTTGTCAAAAGTTCTATATCCCGATCTATCCCTGGCCACCAAGCATGACTTCTTGCTAGGGTTTTCATTTTAACAACACCAGTGTGACCTTGATGTAGCTCATCCAAACCTTGACTTCGTTGTGACGGCGGAATCAAAACACGTATTCCCCATAATAGACAGTTCTGGTAAATAGTAAGTTTACTACGACGTGTAAAGTATGGATCCATCTCCTTCGACTCTGAATTTGCACACCAACCTCTGGACACATTATCATAAACTTTCGATAAGAGGTAATCACGCCTAGTTTCACGTTGGATTGCTTCAGGTTTGATAAGTAGATGTTCCAGTTGACTGACATGCAACATCTCCAGTTCCGCTTCCTCTTCTTTGTCCACCAATCCGCTACTCTCACATATGACAGGTAAGCAGGACAAACTGTCAGCATTTCCATGTTTCTTCGTATTTCTGTAGCTTATATCATAGTTGTAGCCAGCAAGGAACAATGCGTACCTTTGCAGCCTAGCTGCCGTTGTGTTTGCGATTCCCTTCTTTGGACCAAATATAGAGATAAGTGGTTCGTGGTCTGTAATGAGATGAAAATTTCTTCCATAAACATAAGTGTTGAAAGGTTTTTTTCTTTTTATTTCGATGAACCGTGTTGCCATGGTTACTAAAAATAGAATTTTCTGTGAAATTCCTGAAAACGCTACTATCTTATAGCTACGCTACTATTTCTAATTATAAATATAACCTGAAAATATTACAGTGTTTTTAATTACCCAAATACAGTCTAGAACTGCAAGTTTGATGAATTATATTCAAACTTTATTTAAAGCATCCATAATGGTGTTTTCCATAATTTGGAAACGCTTTGGCCCGAGATGTCTCCCCATCATCCTTGAAATCACAATCGCCACATTGACACGGCTCTGATCCTGCAATATACCCAGCATCTTGTGGCCCGCTCCGAACTCCCCATCATCACAATATCCTTCGTGAAGAATCCCGTTATTGTCCTTGAAGCAGTAGATCACAATATTATGGTTGGCCCGTCCGTAAAACGGATCAATCGAAACTTTCTTATAGAAGTTTCTCACCTTGGCAAGAGCGTTGACATCAACCGCCGCCGCACTGAATTGATTTCCCCCATCTCAGTAAGTGTCTGATCTTTTGTAGAAGTTCCTCTGCGTTTGGAGTTGAAACCTTATCCTTGTAAACAGTTTCGTTTGGGAAAACAAGCTTATCTCCAATAATACGAGTTTTGACGTTTTCCTGCCAATATTTGTTATTTAGTTGACTGTTCCACTAGTTTTTTACGGTTTTCGTTCACCTGCAGGGGTGATTGTGGTGTGATGTAGAACGGTAGTCCCGCTCCACTCTCCTTCTTCGGCCTCTGTTGTTTCAATATTTCGTCTTTGTACTCGATTCTCATGAGCCTTCCGGTGATGGTTCGTGGCTTTCCGTTTGGCTTTACCTCTTCGGCGTTTCTATGGATGTTTGAAAACTCAACGCCCTCTACACCTAGATGCTCTTCGATTAGATTAGGAATTTTTGTTCTCAATACTTCTTCACTATCCTCTTCTAAATTGTGTATCAAAATGTTGAATTTCATTGACCTCCCTTTAAGATCTGTTATTTCAACCTCTTGTTGTTGAACTTTTCTGTCAAGTTTGATAACAACAGACTTCAGCATTTCCACGTCTTTCTTTAGCTTTTCGTTCTCCGTTTTTAAAAGCTCCATGTCTGAAAGAGCTTCTTCTTGAGTCCCGGCCACACATTGAATTATGTCATCCAAGCCATCCTTCTCCAACAAATCCGCCTTTATGTCTCCTACATCTTGTGATAATTTGGCAAAAGTTTTGTAAGGTTCCGTTATTGTTAACGGTTCCATATAAGGAGCAAAGGTTGCCGTTGATTGAAACGGATGTAAATGTCCAAAACCACTGGAGGGGAACGGCTGGCTTTCCTTGTGTCGGATGCCCGTGGTTGTTTTGATTGCTTTGAATCGTACTCATGGTTGAGGATCCCTTTAAAGTCCTTACGCGTTCGCACCATTGTTTCACAAAGTAGAAACAAAGGAAATAATGCAATTTTCTAAGAAGTAGAAATACTTTCCTCGTTTTTAAATCCAATCTTTCACAATGTTGAAAATAAGTTACTGGGCAAGTTTCCGGGACCAGTTTACAGCTGATAAGCTCAAAAATTGGTCTAAAGATCATTCACTAAAAAACACGACCGCCATGGCCATTAACCACGTGACCTCTCCTATTTCAATGGAGTTGGAGACAAGAGTGCATTTTCATAAAGTCCTACATAATTTCAATGGATTAACATATTAACATGATTTTTTAAAAAAAATTGAAAAACTAAATTTTTAAAAATATTTTGATCAATTTTATTTTCACACAAGAGCAAATGGGATTAAATGAATGTATAATCAGGCCTCATTTTGATTGATTTGTATCTTTTTTTTATAACAGGCAAAGAAAAACTTAATGGGTTGAAGCACCCCAAAACTGGTGTTGGCCCCCCTCTTCCACAGGGAGAGGAAACATTTCTCAACCTTGCAGATGGAGAACCTAGTCTTTGTGGTGTACAAGGAGGGATTGATACAGATGGTATGGTTATACATGTACATTGGAGTGAAACATCACGTTGATTCTTTGGGAGAGAAAGAAATAAATGGTTGACTTGGTATAAATGATCAAGTTGAATTGAAACAACAAGCATTATTTGATTTTAATCTTCTTTTCTAGCCAAGTGGTTCTTCAGAAGAATATCTTTAAAGGTTTTTCCAATATATTTCTATGTAAAACTTTGGTCACTACCCCGGGATGCTTCCACAAAAGTTTCAGCTTTTCTGGCCCAGTAGTTCTTGAAAATAAATTTTAATAACCCCATCATATTTTATTTTTTTTTTATTATCTCCATTTGTGAAGATACTTAGCTCTTTATTTTTAGAGTTTAAATTCTCATTTACCCAAGAATGCTATGTACCAAGTTTGGTCAATATTGGCCCAGTTGTTCTTGAGAAAACATCGAAAATGTGGAAAGTTTACAGATGGACAGGCACACGGACAGCTGGACAGACAATGGACAAAATGTGATCAGAAAAGCTCACTTGAGCCTTCGACTGAGGTGAGCTAAATTTGTATTTAACACAACGAGAACACTCACATTAATCATATCAATACTGCTTTTAGCACCTTTCTTCTCTTTCTTAAGCGCAGGTGAATATTTAGCCTTAATAAGAGCCAAGCTTTTCTTCGCATCTAGATTTTAAGATTTGCAAAGTAAAATTCAAAAATGTGTCAGAAGAATGAATTATGTATAAAATATTGCAATTTACATACTCATAAATGATAAACACATACATGTACACTTGAATGTGTGCATTATCCTTAAATGAACTTGGTTTAAATATATAATAAGCTTAAAACTATAACCTGATGAGAGGCATTCAATTTCCATTGCTTGACTATTGCTTGCTTGACTGGAACAGGTGGGAGCTGAATTTTTATCTACTGTAAATATATAACACATACCAATAATACCAGTATTTCAATACATGTAAGGCCAAACTTAAAAAATTCTTTGTTTGCAATTACCCAGTCTGATTAAATCCAGCCCCCTTTTCCTTTCACTCGTCAGGGTCTGACAGGCATCGATAGGAGGTCATCTTCACACGACCTCTACATTTGCATGCGATAAAAAAATATCAACCAATCAGAACTGGGCTTTCATCTGTTTTAAGCGCTCATATAACTCTTCAAAATTGGAGGTAAAAAGAGAACACAAGCAGCCGAAGCCATGTGCGAAGAAATTGAAAGTATTATCCGTAGCGTTATCACCAAGTTCAGTGTTAAAGAATTAAAAAAAGAACAGCGTCAGATGTTAGATTGTCTGCTTAAAGGTGAAGATTGCGTAGGAGTTTTGCCCACTGGGTACGGAAAGTCACTACCATATCAGATATTTCCACCTGTGTATCAGCAGCTACGGGACGAGAAAGTGGTGGTTTTGGTATGCTGTCCCCTCATTGCTCTTATGGAGGATCAGGTTCAGCGGATACAGAAGACTCAATTTGTGTCTGCTGAATATATAGGTGAGTTATTCAAAACCATCCGATATTTGTGCTTGGGATCCAGAACAGAACATTGAATTCCATTAAC